AAGAATCCTAACCAGCTGAGATTCTTGCTGAAGGCACAGAGAACATGGAATGGGTTCCCGAAGAAGGAAACCACAGCTATCAATTATAGCCTGTGACCAAATATAAAAACAAGGACTAGTAGGTTTTGCATATTTTCTATCTGCTTGTTCTGTGTTTATTTGTATCTGCTAACCATTTTCTTTTTCTCTCTCCTTCCCATTTTTATTCCATATAGCAGTTAACTTTACAATTTAATCTTTATATAAGAGAATATTCAGTGTGCCTGACTGAACTTGTAGAGTAATTAATATTTAGTGATGGATATAATGACCCTTGGGAATCTGTTCATCTGCTCATTTTTGAAAAAGGGTGAAAACTTCATTTTAAGAATAGCTATATCTCATTAGGTGGAATAGTTGCATTGCTGTTGAAAGGAGTTCAAATGTGTGTAGAAAGGTGTATATGGGATCCAGTTCCCATATACAGGTGTATATGGTTCTCCAGTTACCAATTACTGCTCCTCAAATCTAAATTCACTATTTTTGCCAGCTCTGTGAAATGGATTTGGGCTATTTTTTTCCTCTGATAGCTGTCACACCGTTAATGAAACTTTGTTCATCGAAGATGCTGCAGAGACACTGCAGAAGGAAAATGGCTTTGCTTCTAATCCCAGTGTGCCTGCTTGACACAGGCTCCCATGGTATGCATGGTTTTCTCCAGCAGCAGACTTCTGCAATACCCACAGTTTCTCCAGCATCTAGTTCTTGTAATGCATGCTGCCAGCAGTGCTCGGTGGCCAGTAGCTTCCCCCAGCATCCACCCTGGACAATTCTGTAGCACAGTGCTTCCGGTTAGACAGCTCCCTATAAATAGCTTTCCCTGGCAGCACCCCAGGGCTGATTTCCAGCAAGTTCTGCCAGTGCAGCACTACAGTGACTTCTCTGCCATTCAGCAAGCCACAGCTGTGCCGTCTCCATCAAAGTGTGAATCCCAGCCCTGGAGTAGATTGGGGATTCTTTCTTAGGTGATCTGAGCTGGACATGTGGTAGCCATTCCTTATATGTGCTTTTTCTATATTCTTTAGAAATATCTTTATTCCTTACTAAGTAAATCCTTGTTACTCTAATCCCCCAATTATAGTTAACAATTCTTTAACCTTTCCCATCAGGGAACAGAAAATGGAAAGTAATAGCCTATTACTTGTCCCTTCTTTCTCATGTAACTATAATCATGAATCTCCTCCGATTCCCTGTGTACTTCTCAAGACAGACTGTAAGAATTCATCTAGTACCACACATTAAAAAAAGGGGGGATACTATTTATAGCAAGTTTCATTTTTGGTAGGATACTTACACTTTGATACATGTTTGTCTCAATAGGTTCATTATTTCTTTCTGATGATTATCTGCACATATGCAGTGCTAATACATACCTGGAATTTCACCTATGTAAAAATAATTTATTGGCTTGGTGCTGACAAATACTTAAGGTGATCTGGAGTCACTTATAAGCAACAAGAGTAAGAGAGACTGCTTTAAAAACACTGCTATGAAAATCCATAAAAATACAAAAATCTATACCTCAGGCAGTATAATATATTTTCCTAAGTTAGCCAAGTGTTAGAAAGACAACAAGATAGACTAAATAGCACAACTGGAATATACTTAGGTTTAAAGTAGCATAATCTTTTGTCAGTACAAAATTTAGTTTTTAAAGAATAAAACACAATTTACTTTTGGAAGAATGAAGATTTGTAACAAGTGATTTAATACTGATTATGAATATCACTGAACCAGATTTGCTAGATGATTACCACCTGTTTGACTGATCTGATCTTTCAATACAGCCATTTATTGAGAGCTTACACTGCACCAGCTATTCTACTAAGTGCTTTAACATAATGTCACAATGATCCATAAGGTAAATTTTATTATTCCCAATTTGTAGATGAGGACCTGAAACTTAAGGAGGTTAAATGAATGGTGCAAGGTCACACAGCCTAAATGAATCTATCTAACTCAAAAGCACATGCTCTTACCTCACGTACTACTTTCCTAAAGCCAGTGTATATGAGGTGCTCTATAAGTGTGTAAAGACTTTCCAGAGGTCCATGGGCATGGAGAGTCTTAAGAGACTCAATTTCAATTCAGTTAACTTTCTTTCATAACCTTTCCTCAAACTAATCTTCCTAAAAATGTACCTGCATCAAAGTACCATGCTGGTTCTCAGTTACCATATTTTTATATTAACCTTTTCCTCACTTTATAAATAAAAGCATACTTCTTACCCATTCAAAGGGACAATCTGAAATACTGGGGTCAAACTGAAGTAATGACTGAATAACATTTTTGTAGGTAGGTTCCAGTCATCTGCTTTAAAAAAAAATTGGAGGATCTAGACAATCTGTCAAGTTGATGTGATTCTGGCAAATATCTCAGAAAAACTAAGTGACATTGCTATGATAAACTCCTTCCATCCCCATCAATTTATTATGTGAATAAGGTTTCTCAAGCTTACATTCATAAAGATGAAAAACAAAATTGATGTTGAGCTATATCTCATTTTAGGAAAAAATAGAATTCACTCATAAACGTAATAAGGAAGGAAAAAAGTCTCCCTCTATCTCATTAAGAAATACATTTCTGGTCAAATTTTACTTTATGTTTCAATGTTTATCAACATTTATAAATTTGTTTTTATTAACTGGATTCTACAAACAATTTTAACTCAATCTAAGTCAATTTTTTTATATTTAATTTTTTTTTAAGATTTTTATTTATTCATTTGAGACACAGAGATAGAGAGAGAGAGAGAGAGAGCATGAGCAGGGAGAGAGGCAGAGGGAGAGGGAGAAGCAGGCTCCTTGCTGAGCCAGGAGCCGGATGCGGGGCTCGATCCCAGGACCCCGGGATCATGACCTGAGTTGAAGGCAGACGCTTAACCAACTGAGCCACCCAGGCGCCCCTGTATTTAAATTCTTGAACATGTTTTTATTGCAAAGAGGTATGAAAGGGTAAACAATATTGTTTAGGGTTTATGCTAAAAAATTTTAGATGTCAACATAAACGTGCAAAGGGAAATATTTTTTTCAAAACTGGTTCGGAGTAAAAAGCTTTATTATCATTGTATCAAACAGTTAAAGATCTTAAATATTTTGTCCTGTTCGTATTCAAATTTGAAACAAGATATGAGGCAAATGTTTATTGTCAATATTTTCACCAAAAGTCTCTATCTGGAAAAACAGATCAGTCTGGTATTAGGAAAATAACAGAAATGAAAACAACCAGTGCTGCAAAGAGATCGGGCTGCTTGAGAAAAAAACAAACAAAAGCACACAGTTTGTCTTATTAGTTGTTTTTGTTTCATTTAAAGAACGTTGTTAAATATTATAAATTATTTCAGCTTCATTTTTCAAAATGATTAAATAACTGAATACCAGACACAGAAAACTAGATTTCTAGAGAGTGATAAGAAGATGGAACTGTACCAATTGTCAACTGAATTCAAATAAAATAAAGCAGAGCACTAAATCTGAGGAAGCTGCTAAGCTGTAGTGAAGGGAGACACTTAGCAGCCCATTAGTCAGATGCAGGAGGACAGATGGGTCAGAATGACCCGTCACTGGGTTCCCTAAGAGCAGCAGCCAACACTGCGGGGACTCTAAGTTTTGCCCGCTCTGCTAGTGCCTTTACATGGTATGACCCCCACCAACCTGACCAATCTTTCTGCTAGAAGCCAATCAAATGTCACATTTCCTACTGGTAACAAATAATAAAACTTCTATTTTAATTCTCAAAATTTCTTTTTAAAGATATCGCTATACTGTAGGAGATCATAAACCACTAGCATACTAATGGGAAAAACTGTGTAAGCACTGTGAAACCAGACTCTAGGATGTATATATTCCATTGTGGTCACTTAAAATTTAACTCAAGGAAGTTAGTGATCCTTCATCTTTATATATTATATGTCTGATACAAGCTATCACACTGTACCACTATTTCATGTGTCGAATTTAGTAAGGCAAGGAATAATCTGGGAAAAGTCCTAAGTGTATTGTTTTATGATGTTCTTTCTGACTTTTCTCCTAGTACACAGTATTCCTGCTATGGTTACTTTAAAAAAAAGATACACCAAACAAGTCATATAACTGATCAACGTTCTCCATGGAAGATTACACACATGTAAAAAGTGATGTCAAGGCAAAGGTACCTTAAGTGTGTATATGTGTAGACAGATAGGTCATTCTATCTACCTACCTACTGTCTAAATTATGAATGGACTTTCTAACCTCAGAAAATTTCAAGATAAAATGCTGTTATAATGTCCCTGAAAGTTCTCTCATTCATTTTTGTTCTCTTACTTTTGACTCATTCAATTATTTTTCTACTTTGGAAATCATTTCAGAAATAGTAACTTAAAGAAAAGATGTCTAATAATGAAATCCACTAGTGCAGTGGAAGTTCCCAAACATGAAAAGTTTGGACTTCTGACCTTAGGCAAATTCAAGTAAGCACTTGTGCTTTAGTCAAATAAGGAAAAGAAGGCAAGACAAAACTTTGTGCCACACTTATTTACGTATTTATGTACATGGAGATAATGGGAGTAAAATGTCTAACTTCGTTAAGCAGCAAGGTAGTATTCAGAAGCCATGAAGACAAAAAAAAAAAAGTGATTTGTAATATATCCTTAGAGATCTTCAATTTCATTTCATAAATACACCTGTGTGTGTATATAAAAAATATTCAGATTTACAGACCCAGATAATTCAATAAAGGAAAAGTGCATTTTCTAAATGCAAGCAAAACATTTTCTATTCTGCACTAACTAGGAAATACTGCAAATTGGCAGAACGTCTAGAGTAATTTATATACATATACTAGTGGCAATCACTATTCAGTAAATGTTACTGATGAAAAATTATTCACCTCTTCTTAAAAGCAGTTAAAAAAAACCTTCAATTTTTATAATTTTGTGTCCCACCAACTTATATATGAGCATTAGAGAGTCACTAAAATACCTCCATAGCCTGGGCTAAGCGTTCTTCCAGTGCCATGTAGGTGAGGAACTGAGGATCCACATAAGAAATCGCTTCAGCAACTCCTAGTCCATCTGCAAAGCCATCAAACAGGCTGAGAAAAAAAAAAACAAAAACAAAAACCATGATTTGGGAAATTGTTATGAAGACATAATTATATTAGCAATTAGCAATTACCAATAAGCCAATAAATACAGTATAAGCAGAAAATGTTAAATATTTTAATGATAAATATTTTAATATAAAAACATTTTTAAATAAATAAAATATTTTAATATAAATCTTGTGTGGTGAGGGGCAGGAAGAACCCAACAGAAAAGTGAAATACTAAGCATAAGGAGTTAGGATACCACTACCTCGCACAGTAAGCTGCCATACTCACGACACAAAATTTCTAGGAAAATTCTTATGATTCTAGCTCTACCTCTGGGGATTACTTAGGGCTGGGATAGAGGTAGTACTTTTTCCCTCCTAATTCTTTCCCATATATTTCCCCTTCTGTTTGTTTGAGTTGCCAACCTAAATTTACATGAGAACATGGTAAAGACAATTACCTCATTTATTTCAATTCTGTCATTAGTCAAAGCCTCTTTTTCTTCTCTCACCTTTTGTACTGCTTAATTACTTAGGCCCTAAAAATATTTTATTTTCTCAAGTCTTTCTATTCTCTTGAGAAGTAAGCCTCCTCCATCATTATTCAGACTGAAAAATATTTAGCTCTTAACTGTTCATTTTTATTATTATTATTTTTTTTTTACTAAAGGACTGTAATCCCCTTGAAGAATGTAAGTTTTATTCTGGTCCTAATCTCCTTCCACCACCCCTAGACAGAAGTAGATTCCTCCTTTTCCTCTAGTCTTGGAAATACCACATTCTTCAAAATTCGGAAACCACAGTATGTCCTCAGTCCTTTTCTTTCTAATCTTGCCTACTTGGAAATTATATTCAAGTCCATTTCCTCAGTTATCCTCTCTGTAAGTTAATTCCTAAACCTCCACCTAATTCCAAACACTCTTCAGCTCTTGACCTACATTTTTAGTTTTCTGTAGGGCACTTTACCTCGATTAACTCTCACCACCTCAAAACCAGCATCTCCAAAACTGAGCTTATTTTGTCTAACTAAAGGCAAATTTCTGTTGACTTCTGTGTTCCTATGAGAAGTCAAGTATAGTCAGGAACATCCAGTAATACAAACTAGCTCAAAATAATTTTGATGTCAACTTTTGTGCCATCATTAAAATTACAAATCTATTGCCAAAAGATACAAAAGTATTCTTAGGAAGATTAAAGCTCAGTAGTGTGTAACAATTACCAAACACCACCTAGTACAAAGGAACATTCTCATATAACCACAGATTTTAAAATTAAAATTTAAACTACAAATTAGTGAATCCAACCTCCCTTGCAACACTAGAATTCCTTCACCTAGCAGTGAGATATAGTGCAAAGACAAAGAGCCCCGGAGTCATAAAATAGAGATTTAACTCCACATTTAACTGAGTCATAGTTAAACAATGTGAAAAATGTATTTAACTCTTACTCTGTTTCTTCATCTATAAAGCGAATTAAACGAGTCGCTGCATGATGCCTACACATGCCTGGCACAGACATGGCACCAAAGCAGGCATTCAAGAAACAGAACCAGTTCCTCCATGGGGAAGAGACACTGCTTTCTGGGATGGTACCTGCCAGTGTGGAAGAGCCCTGTCAGAAGTCTGACTTACGTGAAGTAAGTGCTCTAGTTCTGCCTGCTGAAGCAACACCAACTCTGTCCACAAAACTTCAAATGGTTAGAGTCAACTATCTCCTAATTCTTTTCTTCTCTAGACTAAACAAAGCTAGACATTCAAAGCAGAGTATCTGCTTGCAAATTTGGTCACTGCAAAATAACCAGCTAATATTAAAAATTCTAGCATCATCCATCTGGCAATCACCACGGTAATAAGTGTTTCAGACAAAAAAATCGCTAATGATACTAGAACTAGTAGATGGAAGTTTGATAGTTTGAAAAGAAACAGGTTATTTACATAGTCTCAAAGTATTTTCCCACTAGATGCTTATTATTTGTTTAAAAATATGGCAACTGTATAGTGAAGAAATCTGAAAGGTAACACCTTAACCAACTGATCAGAATTAAAATCACCGGTAATGGGACAATTTGGCATTATGTGCCTTCTGATATGAACTAAGAAAAACAAAATATCATTTCTATGGTGTTCCTGCTGAAAATCTGTAACTTGAATCTAATCATAACATCAAATCTAAACTAAGAGACATTCTACAAAATAAATGGCCTATACTTTTCAAAAATGTCAAGGTTATGAAAGACAAAAACTGAGGAAATGTTCCAGATTAAAAGTGACTAAAGAAACATGTTAAGCAAGAACAATGAGTGGTCTCAGTTGGACTAGAAAAAAATTCTCTAATGGCATTCATTAGTAGGACAACTATAGACATTTGAATAATGTCTGTAGATTAGAGAATAGTATTGTTATCAGTGTTAACTTCCTGATTTTGAAGATTTTACTTTCTTATATAAGAAAATGTTCTTGTTCTTCAGGACTTCATTCTAAACTACAGGTAAAGAGGCACCTTGTTTGCAACTTACACATAAATGGTGGGGAAAAAAAATATAAATATAGAAAAAGAAAGGAAAGAGAGAATGATAACACAAACGTGGTAAATGTTAACATCTAGGAAATATTAGTGAAGAATATATGGAAATTCTTTGTATTATTTTTGCCACTTTCTGTACGTTTGAAGTAATTTCAAACTTGTTTAAAAAATTCATGGTCGTATCCACAGGGAATTAATTTCCCACAATCATATTAGGTTAATAATTATAACCCCAGTTTCTTACAGGAAAATAGAGAAGTAGTTACCAAAAAATAAATAAATGGTACAGTTGGGATTTGTCTAAATCCAAAATCAGCTCCCACGACACTAGTTTATAAAATACTCTCCAGGTATTCAACAACACTTCTGGGAGGGACATCATCAAAACAAATAAATACACTTTGATAGAGAATTTTTTCCGTTTTCTTTTAAACTAAAGAATCAAAAAGCTTCAACTTTTTTTAAGTTGTGGTGAAACAAAAAAAAATATGTTAAATTTTGGCTTTAGAGGTAAGAATTGCTGCTGTTTGCCATGGCTTTTTAGCTGTCAAAATGACGTTATTTTAATCTGAAAATCAAATCATATTTTTACCTTATCAACCTGTAGCGACTGCCACATAAATTAATATAGTACCACATAAGCAAATAATGAGGTGATGCCATATCTACAGAAAATTCAAAATAGTAACCTTCAAAATTTTGTCTTAAAGATCAATGTTAAAATGCTTTCCGTATTAAAAAAACTACTTTGACGCTTCCCAAATTTGGGAACAATCAGCAACATCTCTAAAATCTTAACACAACAGCCATGTCCAGAAAGATCATCAATGAATTAGAACCAAAAATAAAGTTTTCAAGTTTAAAAATTATATTCAGGAAAGACCACAATTATTTCTTCAAATTTTTATGTGGTACAACCTTTTTTGAAAGTTATTTAGAAATATTTATCAAGATCTTAATAAATACCACTTATCTCAGTAATGTCACCTCTGTTAAATGCCCTAAGGAAATAACCTGAAGTACAGAACAAGTTATATGAGCAGAAAGGTTCACTGCACTATTTCAATGGGGAAATGATCAATTAAATTTTAGTGCAACTATAGACTAGAGCAACTACATAATGGAGCTGTAAAACATTGTTTTCATAAAATTTTGAAAATGTGCAAAAGAAATTATTTCTTCATATTAAACCATAACTGCCTCCCAACATGCAGAAATGATGCTAACTGAATTGACAATTCTGTCATCTGCTGAGCATTATGAGGAATGACTTTGCATAATGGAGACAGAAGACAGCAGCATAACAAGGAGTTCAGAAAGAGGGTAACAGGCAGACAGAGAGAAGGGGGGGAAGAGATAGGAGCACCAAGATCAGCAAGACCAGGACCAGGGGAGCCACTACTTTTCCAAAAAGTCTGGGAAGCCAGAACATGGGTTTTGGAGCCAGCAATGTTTAAGGAATTACAAACTGTTTGTGTGGCTGTGATACACCACTTCCTACTTCCACAAAATGGTCAATTTAAAGTCTGCTTTGCACATACAACTTTTTTCCCCTTGGGAAGTGAGAATAGGAAACGGTAAGGAGGATTTCAAGGAGATGCTGAGTTTCATATCTGCAACAATTTGGAGAAGCAGAAAGAAGTAGCTACACACACAGAAGATACAAAGGAGGACTCAAAAACTTAAGTTCTAGAAATCTGCAGTTATCAGGGGATATGAATAAGTTTTTCATATCTTTACTGTTCTAAATTTTCTGTAATGGAATTTTAACTAGAAAAACAAAACAAATTCTTAAAAATACATCTGTATAGAGATAGAAACAAATAGTACCAAGCCATATTTTCTCCAGAAAAAGTAACAAGAAGAGATTAGTTGGACCATATATCCTCTCTACATCTCAGTTAACTAGCTGCTTCCAGAGGTCTGCTACACATTTGAAAGATAAATCTAACTATAAACCAAAACAATTAAATTCTGACCATTATATTATGAGACATAACAATTCTATAATCCACTTAATTCACAGGCTTCTTTTATTTGAAATTCATTATTCTTTGTCAGCATAAAGTAAACTGATACTTTCAGCATTTCTGGGAAGGTACAATTATATTTTCCATATTTTGCATACAGAGAAGGATAACTATACTCTTATGATTCTTCTGATTTAATCACACGTTTTGAAATTCTTCAAGTAGATTTATTAAAGACTCTTTTTTTTTGAAGGATTATATGAAGGGCTATATTTAGCATATATAGCTAAATGTAAAAGTTGGAAACCTCAAACTATGAGTTTATAAATAACTAGGATATAAGGTGCGCTTCAAGAGAGCCAAAGGTCAGAGGAAAAGAGGTCACTGCCTGGATTAAGTAGGAGGGAATCTATGTAGGAAGTGGCATCCAGAATGAGCTCTGAAGAGGAAGACTGACAGATGGGCAAATGAGAACACTTCTGAGAGATCCGAGATACAGTTTTCATAATTTAGAATCATGAACAAATTCTATTCAATGAACAATTAACCATGGTAATAACACTGTGTTAACATACCTCCAGTCCACATCCAAGTCTTCACTCACACTGGAGTCATCCTCAAGGTTATTGTTACCATCCAGCATGAAAGCTTCTGGCTGTGCAAATTCATTGGCAGGCTCATTTCCCTCATCACTGCTGCTTTCATTGACTTCATTGTACTGTAACCAAGGAATTTCTCCCTCTTCCAAGGATGTCTGTTCCCTAATACAAACATTTTAAGGGAAGAAAAAAATACTATTTTAAAACACATCACAAAATTATTCTCTAAAAAGAGTTCTATTTAGTGCAAATAGATTATTCTTTGAGTTCTAAACTCTTGGTACTTACATGATTCTAAAAGTCTGATCTTATAAGTTATTTAAAAGGTAAGCAAATTTGCTATAGGGTCATATGTATGTAGAAATAGCTCCCAATTACATAAGGACCTATTTATTTTATTTTATTATGTTATGTTAGTCACCATACATCAGTTTTTGATGTAGTGTTCCATGATTCATTGTTTGCGTATAACACCCAGTGCCCTCCATAAGGACCTATTTATTTGACAAATTACCTATGTTCTACATTTCCTCTTTGTGCAGAAGAAAAATAAGAAAAATTCATTCCAGACAATTTTAATTTTTACACAGTGCTCTTGAGGGTGCCTGCACGGCTTAGTCAGTTAAGTGTCTGACTGTTGATTTCATCTCAGGTCAAGATCTCAGGATTGTGAGGGGCGCCTGGTTAAGTGACTGCCATTGGCTCAGGTCATGATTCCAAGGTCCTGGGACTGAGCACCGCATCGGGCTTCCTGCTCGGCAGGAAGCCTGCTTCTCCCTCTCCCACTCCCCCTGCTTGTGTCCCCTCTCTCGCTGTCTCTCTCTCTGTCAATTAAATAAATAAATAAAATCTTAAAAAAAAAAAAAAGATCTCAGGATTGTGAGATCGAGCCCCACATTGGGCTCCTCGTGGAACCTGCTTAAGATTCTCTCTCTCTCCCCCTCCTCACACCCCCACATCCTCACTTCTGGTTATGTACACTCTTAAATAAATAAACAAACAAACAAACAAACTAAACCCTGCTCTTGAGTAGTTTCCCTTCACAGTTGAAGTCCAAATTCTTCCGCCTGGCCGACAAATCCCTACACCATACCTGCTTTCTCCTTGGCCCTCTTCTCCAACTGTTACCTCTCACCACTCTTCCCCCTATTTACTATATTCCTATTATTCCTTCTACCTTTGGAACACACGGAGAGCATTTCCACCTTAGGGCCATTTCCTCTTCTTTCACCAGGTTTTTGCAAGGCTATTCCCCCCTTGATATTCAGGTCAAAGTCAATGTCAGCTCCTCAGAAAGGCCTGTCTTAACCACTCATTTTTAAGTAGCTGTCCATCACCACATAGCTCTGATTATTTTCATTATAGAACTTACTTCTACTTATCATTTTCTTGTTTATTGTTAGTCTTTCTCCCACTAAAAATAAGCTCACAGGAACAGGGACAGACAAACAAGGAAAAGAAAAAAGAAGCATTTCAAAACAACAAAAAAAAGAATTATTCAGTAAATGATATTAGGACAACTGAGTATTCATCTAGAGGGAAGGAGGTTAAATCTCTATGTCATTATTCACCCGTTAACAAATTCCAAATCTACATTTTAAAAATGCATGTGCACCCCACCACCACTTCTAAAACAATAAAAGTACTGGGAGAATCATGAGAGAAATTTTTACAAAAATCTCAGTGTCATTGTAAGCATGATGTAAAACCTAGAAGCCACAGACAAAATTGTTAAATTACACCACTTACACAATAAAGAAAAGTCAAACACCAGAAGTACGGACACAAAGATCAAACTGAGAAGAATTAATTATAATACATGAGCAACTAAATCAAGGCTGCAATGACTGAACCAAAGGTACTTTATGAATTTATAACTAAGAAAATTATACCGGTAGAATTTTCTTATTTATATATCTTTTATTTAACAGAAAATACTGTTTAGTATATCAAAAGGAGGTTAATTATTAGAGCATAGTTCTGACAAGGATGAATTTTAGTTTGGATTTTAAGAAGAAAAATAATATACAATAACATATATTTCAAGAGCAGTTCTAATCAGAATTCTATTCATTCTAATGTGCAAATTTAACTTTGGGGATAAAAACATTTATGAAAGAGATGTAGATGATGCCCACACATAAGAATCAACACATTTTAAAGAAACAGAAATAGTATCTCCTTATACACCTAAACCCGTAAATGTTTCTTTAATCTCAGATCCTAAGCAACACTTCAAAAACAACAGGTTTGTAAGATTCAGTATCTAATATCGTCTAATAAAATCAGAGAAATTAGCATAACAAAACATGCTTAATTTGTTGAAGGTTTAATATCTAATATATAAAGATAGCGGATATTTTCTTTTCATGCATTATAATTATGTCCAATGAAAAACGAAACCCAAAATGGATTTAAAATACAAGGTCAAAAATTCCTAAGCAACAGTTCTTTGTTTCTACCTGTATTAAGGCACTCACCATACTGTTTTATAACTTTTCTGGTGACTCACCTGTCTCCTCCCAGACTGGGAGCTTTCCAAAGGCATATAGTGCTGTCTCTCATAACTGTAGCTTCACCCCTTTGCAGTAAGTGCTTAGCACTCAATAGGTACTCTCTATTTGTGTTGCAAATGTTAACAATAAATCCTTGAAAAACAATCTTAAAAAACAAATAATTTGGGGATTAAGCCTGGAATAGCCCTTGGAAGTTTTTGTTCTTTCTAATGTACTCCTACAAGAAATGCTTTTCTTTTTCCTATTATACACACATCAAAATGACTCAGTTAGTACTCTGTACTCAGATTTAGAACATAAAACTTAGATATACTGGTGAAAATGTTTCAGTACAAGAAATAAATATGTTTTTTTAATTCAAAGAATAAAACTAAAATAAATTATTCTGAATATAAATAATTTATAACACATCATTAATACTCTATATAAGGAATTCTTGGCTATATATTTTGCTTTAACATTTGATTCTGTCTTTAATTAGTCATAATAATGTGTATAGTCATAATAATAACGACTACATAATAATGTAGTCATAGAAATAGAAAATAAGTAGTATATGGTATACACTTTCAATTAATTACCTAAAGTTCACATCATTTGATACCATTTAATGCAAAATTTACCAGGCTAGAAGAGTGGGCCAGAGTTGGCTTGATATTGTAACAAAAGGAATTTTGCTCTTTACAAAAAAAAGAAGAAAAACAGATTCTGAACAATAGGGTCAAAAGTATCTTTCATATTGTGAGCTAACAAAACCAATATCCTCATGGGAATGTAAGCATATAAGGTAAGTTTGAATGCTTCAGAAACCTTGAAAATATTTAAAGCACTATCTCAGTCTTCTCTCTCTCCTTATACACATACACATTTACACACATGCCAGACATACCACATGTAACACATTCACAAAAATTTAGACCTTCAATGTCCTTTCTTCATTTTGGTAATTCAAAAATTAATAAAATGCCATTATCATGTTACATAGTAATTTATGAGATTTAAAAAGACATATTATCTAATCATGTCTCCAAACGGTCAATTCTAAAACAGGATTCCAGTAGATGGAAGATGTGGAAGCCTGTGCCTACCACAACCACCACTGAAGTCACAGGTATTTCAACTGGGAAGGGAAATTGCCAAGTTGTCCTTTCCTTTTGAGCACTTCCAGCACAGCATGGAGGAAACGAATGCTGCTGCCCCGAGAGGAAGCTGAAAATGCTTCAAAATGTATCTCCCCCATCTACTCCCAGTGAAAATCCTAGAAGACCATCAGCATCATCGAATCTCTTGACTACAGGCTATGCTTTAACTCAAATCTTCAGATAAACAGACTGATGTTCCCTTTATGATATATGATTAAAGATCCCCATTCTTCAATAAAAGAACCTATATTTAATAACATGTGAAGAGCAATATTAAAATTATCAAGATATATTAATAAGCCAATATGGAGTATCTTAAAGAAATTTTCGTTAAAAAGTTTTAGAATATGCTAATATATAACCATGCATCATAGAATTTTCTGAGAAATGAAGAAAATGAAAGACAAGTCAAATAAAACCTCTAAAATACTAACTACTCTGATTTTATATTCTGAGTGGTTTCCTTTAGCTAACTGATCAGCAATTTGAGTATCCGTATTTGCAGCACAAAATTTCAACCTTTGGGTTAATGCCAACATTTTAAAGGGCTGAGGCTTTCATGAAATAATCTATATTATAAGAAACTTCACAAAATCCTGGACAGCATAATAAGCATTCCTAATTAACTGGTATTTAATTAACTGGTTTTCATTTTATAAGTCAAGACACATGTTAAGTAGTTGCTAAGCTTGAGGGATAAGCTCATTTTTAATAATTATAATTGCAGAGCAAATTTTTTAAGATTTCAAATCCCTATCTTGGAATTAAAGTACAAAGGAAAGTGAAATTTGAAATAAAAGTCAAAAAAACTTCAAAAGGCATTATAGCTTATAAAATCAATGGTACCCTGTTCCATGTCATCCAGTCACAAAAGATGGACCCCCAGCACCTAATCTGAAGAACTGTTTGTTTATTCTAATAAATTCAGTGTTAACAGGAAAGGCGAAATATTAAATTTTTATTAAAACATTTTAAGAATATTTATGTAAAAAGTTTGTAAAGTCACCAAAACAGCAGGAAAAACTTGAAAAACACACAAGTGTGAGATACTAATTTAAATTCAAAAATACTAATTTAAAGTACTAATTTCAATACTGTCCAGCAATTATTCAATGTTTACCTAGTAAGTTTGTTGTCTAGCTTTCTGAAAGCCTATTTCCCACCTTTTCTTCTTTCTTTCAATTTCACAATTGTCCTATCCTCCCCACTCTCAGTATCTAGTAATAACAAGAATACTGAAGTCACCAACGACTCATCTTTTCTTCCCACTAGAGAACCTACGGGCTTACCCACACTTGTACCTACCTACTACCTTTCCATTAGTTACAATGGAAGTCTCTGTTCCTAAAGGCCCTCTCCTTAGATGTGGATCCTAACCCTTCTCATCTTCCAAGAACTTCACTTTATCTTTCCTCTAATTATTAGTCAGCTATTTTCCTCTGCAACATTCTATAAGCAAACAATCATGCTTCCAGTTTTTGGGGGGTGAGGACATTTTCCTAGG